AAGGCTCTCCCAAGTAGACTGGCAATTATTAATCAAATTTTCTTAAAACTTATCAACTAAAAGGCAACTTTTAAATAATATTGACACCAAATTGTAATATTTCAATTTTTAATATTTCGTTAATCGTTGCTGAGAGCATTAAAAACAGCAATGACAGGGAAAAAAAGAAACAAAAAAGAAATAAAACAAAAGGAAACAAAAGAAAATAAAAAACAAACAAAAAGAAACGAAGATAAAATTAATACAAAAGCAAAACAAAACAAAACAAAACAGAGAAACAAATAGAATAGAATAATATATGAAATTATGATAATTATCGATAATTCAGTTTTTAGCAATCGATCATTTTAAAAGCAAGAATATTATTGCTGTGTGAATCCGAGGGAAAAAAATAAATTAGAATAACAAATTAAAGAGAGCAATGAAGCGAAATGATTAYTCTTTTCTTTACTCTGATGAATATTCAGTTTTGTCCGAATGCACGCATCGATTTTGAGCTAAAAACAAACAAACAAACAAASAAACAAAGCGAAACATACACGTAGAATGCGATTTGAAGTCTGTCACTTGTACCTGYAAACTCTCTGTTTGGTTGATATCATGCGTGACCAGCAGCACGTGCTTCAGCCGTACAAGGATATGAAATTTCAAACCATTGATGTCACGCCGTAATCCTCACAGAAAACATAACGCCGTTCACGTTTAAATCAAGCAATTTCTCATGGCGTTAAACATTCGAGAATTACATAAAACGTCCGATGAGATAATTGACTCGAATTCTAAGCAGTTATTTGAYCTCAATCATAARATTTGGCTGAAACCCGAGCTTGGTTATGAAGAACATTATGCTCATGAAGTTCTCACTGAGTTTTTATCGTCGAAAGGCTTCAAAGTCGAGCGTCATTACAAGCTAAAAACAGGGTTTAGAGCAGAGTTTGGAAATGGAAATGGTCCAACAGTAGCAGTTCTTAGCGAAATGGACGCTTTACCTGATATCGGTCATGGATGTGGGCATAATTTGATCGCTGAATCAGGAGTCGCCGCGGGACTCGGAATTAAAGAGGTTCTAGAGAAGACATCTCTCC